TGATTTACTTCATTTCTGCTTTGCTCATAGAGCACAGTGCCTTCTTTAATGCAGGCATGCCATGCTAGGCAGTTCTTTGCCAATGTCTCCTATGTCATGAAATTGATTCCAAAGTTCTTCAGAAAAATCTTGACAGTGTCATTATATCACTTCTTCTGTCCTCCCCGTGAGTGCTTGCCTTGTGTGAGCTCTCTGTAGAATTGTCTTTTAGGCAAACGCACTTTTGGCATTCAAACCGTGGCCAGCCCATTGCAGTTGCACTTTCTGGAGTGGAGTTTGAATGCTTGGCAGTTTAGTTTGAGAAAGGACCTCAGTGTCTGGTAGCTTATCCTGCCAGGTGATCTTTAGAATCTTCCTAAGACAATTTAAATGAAAGTTATTTAGTTCCCTGACGTGGCACTAATATACTGTCCAGGTTTCAGAGGCCTACAACAATGAGGTCAGCAAACGGCTCTGTATGCTTTCAGTTTGGTAGGCAGCCTAATACCTCTTCTCTCCCACACTTTCCTTGGGAGCCTCTCAAACAATGGGCTAGTTCTGGCAATGCATGTGTCAACCTTATTATCAATGTGTACATCCCTGGGAAGTATCCTGCCAAGGTACTTATCCATAGCATTCAGAATATACCTAGCAGGTTTGGTAATAATAATAATTCTGTAATGAAGACAGAACCATTTGGAAAACTGATGAGACAGAAATTGGGGAGAAAAAGAAGAGTATTGGAGAGTCACCCCAATTCTTTCTATAATGGTCAAAATCAGGGTCTGTAATTCACCTGTGAAACTAGAAATAACGGTTACCATGAGCAAGTTTTAAATCTTGAGTCCTCATCCAATCCATCAATAAGTAAACATTTATTACATGCCTACAGTGCACCAGGCACTGTGCACTGGGGACACAAAAAGAGACAAGACATTGCCTCCCCTCAAGGAGCTTACAATCTAATGGTGGAAATAATATGCAGACAAACGTATACAAAGCAAGCTATATACGGGATAAACAGGAAATAATTAAGAGAGAGAAGGCATTGCAATTAAGAGGGGTTGGAGAAGGCTGCCTCTAAAAGTGGGGTTTTAGTTGGGGCTTAAGGGAAGCTAGAGAGGTCAATGGTCAGAGCAGAAGAGGGAGGCTGTTCCAGGCATGGGCTACGATCAGAGAAAATGTCAGGAGCTGAGAAATGAAGTGTCTTGTTCCACTTACAGATGGGATATCTGCTCATTTAAACAACACCAAAACATGATCTTACTGTGCCTCACCTTTTTTCTGTGGTTGTTGTTAGAGCCTAGAGTAGTTTAATAAATAAATCCATCAACCTGAGACTGTAGCTGATTTGAGGTCATAGGAGCTGGGTTCAAGACCTTGGGCAAATCACCTAATTTCATTGGGGCTCTGGTTCCTCTTCTGCAAAATGGGGTTGGACCAGACAGTCTCTTCCAGCTCTAGAATTATGATTTAATGTTGTACAAGAGAACACTTAGCCATCTACAAAAGCAAAGCCTGAATTAGCCCTTTTCAGAGAGGACCTTAAAAAGTTCAGATCTGAAAACTGCTGCGTTCGAAGAGAGTGAGGGAGACAAGGCAAATTTACTAACAACTTCCCCAGTGCAGCCACAGTCAGACAGTAGGGTGAAAAAACCCAGTGACTATGAATCTGGGAACCAGGGTTGTAATCTCCACTCTGCCACTAACTAGTTAGCTTTCTTACTTTGGGCAAATCACACAACCACGTTCTGAATCTGTTTCCTCATGTGTACAGAGAGGACCCTAATGGATTCTCAGCTTTTTGTGGGGCCTGGGGAAGAAGGGGAATGGAGGAAATGCCAGGCTGATGATCTTTTTCCAAAGTAAAGAAATCACCCTGTGTGAAAGGTCCACAGTGTAATTTGTGTGAAAAGTGTTTCACACATAGGTGAACCTGGCATCCCTTGTTTGAATTCAATGAGGAGTTGATTTCTTTTTCTGCCAAAGTATTTTCCAGTTATTTAACTGTGCTATATGTGGGATAATCTAACAGGCTGTCATGTGGGAGCTCCATTGGCACCTTCCAAGTGACTGAAACTGCAGATTTCCTCAAAGGTTTCATCTTGATGAGGGAATCCAGGACAGTGTGTATGTGTGTGTGTGTGTGTGTGTGTGTGTGTGTGTGTGTGTGTGTGTGAGAGAGAGAGAGAGAGAGAGAGAGAGAGAGAGAGAGAGAGAACATGGGGGATTTGCTTTTGGTTTTCACTGAGTGAATATTAAGTAATTCTGGAATTCATTGATTTTCCTTTGACATAAACAACTGTCTCTGAACAAAAGGTGTTTCTTGTAGTTTCGTAGGGATTCAGATAACAACCCAGTTGTTATTGTTATTCAGTTGTGACTCCGTTTAGGGTTTTGGGCGGAGATACTGGACCAGTTTGCATTTCCTTCTCCAGCTCAATCCTCATACAGATGAGGAAATTGAGACAAAGTGACTTGCCCAGGGTCACACAATGTCTGAGACTGGATTTGAACTCAGGTCCTCTTGACTCCAGGCCCAGCACTTTATCCACCATGCCACTTAGCTGCCCTAACAACCCAGAGTTGTCTCTATTAAGATGCATCAAGGATTCCACCCAACAGCCATCCCAACATACCCATCTTAACTTACTGCTTCCTTCTTCTAGGTAATAACCTTCTTCTACCTATTATTGTCTTTAGCCTCTCTCAACCCAATGTAGAACTATTTCTCTTTTTTAATCTTTAATTAAAGATGAAGAGAGACCCTCTCCTTCTAGACAGTCCCTTAGTACTTTTTAGTGTATAGCACTGAGCTGGCCTAAATGGAAGCCACCATTGGCTTAGAGTATTGCAGAGTACAGATGCATCTTGGAGAAGACAACAGTGGTCTGTGTGTGGAGAGAGGATGAGAAAGGGCCCTCCAGAATCCTGGCAACAAGGGATTTTGCAGGTCTGCTTGAGATTCAAAGAGTCCAGTTTCCAGAAGATCTCAAGCAGGGAAATCCTGAACTCTTATGGTTACAGCCCTGGACTTGGGCTGGTTACTGGGCCAAGTTTGGTATTTATCAAGCAAGCGCTTTTCAGACTGATATTTGTCCAACTCAGGTAGACTCAGAATCACAGTTTCATCTCTTGGGCCAAATGGGAGCAAAATGGAAGAAAACCAGGTTAGCAACTGTGGTCTTGTAGTGTGACAGGCTGCTTCCTGGTTTGTCAAGGTGTTGAACAAATTCTAAGAACCTATATCTTTGAGGTTTCCCAATGGATCATTTAGTGGAAAGAGCTATTGCAAACAAACGCAGTAGTTCATGAAATGACTCCAAAAGTTCAACCAGATTAGGTTAAACCAATACTTTCTTTTTGCTGAAGGGGGAAAAAAAAACCCAAAGCCAAAACAAAACCAACACATAGTATTGTATCTCAAATTCAGATCACTCACTTTTCCCCCGATGGGCAGACTGATCTTGCTAAAAGTGATTTCCTTGGAGACAACTGCTACAGAGGAGGAGGTAAAGTGCTTTGGAGTCAGAATATGTATTTAAATCCCACCTCTGACACTATTTGGGTAATTCGCTTAACCTCCATATATACAGGTAGAATTTTAGTTGGGACTTAACAGAATCCTTTGACTTTGCCAGAATTCCTTTAATCTGCATATAAAGATATAGACAAGAGCTCATGAAAATGCATTGTTATACCCTGCCCTCTACATGGTATCCTCTCCTCTGAGTCTTCTCTGTTGATGAATTCTTCCCTTTGTCATGCTGAGGACCAGACCTTCCAAAGAGTTGCTGATTTTGCTTTACATAGCAGTAAATACAGGGATAGCTCAGTGAATATTTGTGATTTCATTGGATCTCTGTGGCCAAAAATGACCCTGAGCTGCTTGTTGCCACAGAATCTCTTCTCTAACAGCAGTATTCTCCTGGTGCTGCCTGTGAATCTTGGAGCACCATCCACCATCTCAGAGGACTCAAAATTGGAGGGTAGCCCAAAGAGCAATGGAAAAGACAAATGACTTACTAGCTTTGTGACCCTGGGCAAGTCACTTAACCCCAATTGCCTCACTGAAAAAAGCAAAAACAAACAAAAAGACAAATGGCAGACATAAGTAAGCTGCTGCATGTGGCCAAATAACTGGGGAATCAAGAAGGGGTGTCAAAGACATCATTTAAGACTTGTATGATGAGTACTACGTGAATAACTCTGAGGTACTAGAAGAAACAGAGGAGGACTTCCAGTACTTTGGGTGTATCCTCTGTGGAGAATTTATATAAAGATATAGAGAAGAATAGCCCAGGATCAAGTATGGAGGGTTCATGATCCACACTGGTGGGGAGATTACACACGACAGTTTAGAATCCTCAGGCTCCCTTGTGACTGGTTCCTGGGATGCTTGGCTTTCGCTAAAAAAGTGAGAGTGAAGAAGTGAAATCTTGGTAGTGGTGAGGAGTTCGCATTTCATATTTCACTTGGGAACAGCCATGTACTATCTGCCCACCCAAAGTTTTAAGGTGGAGGAAGCATGGGGGATGGGGAGGTGAGGCTAGCTTCAGGAAGCAGAGAAGTATCTGACAAAGAAGAAGTGATATTTTTAAGCCTGAGAGTGATGTTGTGAAAGGATTGCTGGCTTGCATGTGTGCATGTGTGTGGTCAAAGCCTCACCCAGCACACTCCTGAAAGGAATAATACTTGGCATAAGTGAAAGTTCTGCTATTCCTTTACCAATGTTTCTGAAGCCCCCAGTGGATCACATCTGAGAACTGTATCATACATACATTTCTGTCCTTGGCAGCAATTTCTTCTCAACATAGAGAGAAGAGAAAGGCAACGAATCCTTTGGCAAAGGCCATTCAAGTCCATATTAAAATGATCATATTAGCAGATTGCAGTAGGTTGCAAACAACTATGGGGTTTTTGAAAGGACTTCTGAAATAGATATATAGCTTCTTTCCAGGATTCTAGAAGGAAAAAAAGTAGAATTTTTCAAGAGAAAATGAACCACTCTTAGACTGATGTCCAGCAAAAAATAATAATATATATAATAGATTGCTTTATTTTGATCTAATTTCTAACTACAAAGATAGCTTACACAACTATCCAAGTTTTCACTTTAAAATGGCAGTCTACAGAACATGTTTCATGCAACTCTTATGATGCTAAGTACTAGGTAAATAACTGGGAATAAACAGTTAAGGAATAATATAGCTTGCTAGCAGGTGCAGTAACTGCCCAATATGTACAAACAGCCATATTCTATTCTCAGCTCTTCACAGTTATGTGCAAATGTTACAAATATGGCTTTTGGGTTCTCCATTTTTTTTAAGAAAAGTAAGACATAATTATACAGAAGAATATGTGAAAAGGTCTGCAAGAAAGTTCTTCCACTTGATGACACTACATTTAAGTAGTAATTTACAACCTCCACCTGAGGGTGTAATACAGGCATGTTCCATAAGGGGGCATCGATTCCTAAGGCACAATATTAAGGTTAAACATTCGTTAATTAAGCCATGCTTTTTTTTTTTCTTTTTTCTTTTTGGAGTTATATGAAGTAATAGGTCACTGCTAGTAATAATGTGAAATAAGCTGTTCATTGTACAAAATGCAGTAATAATAAAGGCTAAGCTAACCTATTAGGTGCACCATTAACATGAACTAATTTGAAAATATCCTATACAGTGCTGCATATTAAAACATTGTTTTTTGGTAATATCTTTCTTTCATGAAGCAGAGAGTTATAAGGCTTCTGTGGAATAATAATCTTATAATTGAACAAATATTTTACACTCTTTTGTAATGGTATTTACACTTATTTTCATCTTTTGCCGTTTGGTAAAGAACATGTTCTTGGTATGCATCTTTCCTGGCTTTCTAAAGTGCTTGTTTAACTGCATGAGGCAAGAAAAATGCATATCTGTTGGTGGGCTGATGGCCCCTTACAGACTTAGTTGAAAAGTCATATCTGGACTCTGAAATGCATTTCTTAAAATGGATACTGATTATTGCTAAACGTGTTGCCCTTGCTGGGCTGAAGGCTGACAATCACCAACTCGATTATTTGTTATACATAAATATATGTCCTATAGATGTATGTACATGCAAATGCAAGATCTATCATGTAATAGATAGATACAAATGTTTTGTCTGTCAATCTATTTTGTGCTATTTAACTGACTTGTGCTATGTTTGAAGCTAGATTAAAATAAAAAATCTTAGCATGCTATGATTAACAATCCTATGGTTTACTAGCACAGGAAAAAAAAGGCTATGATAAAAGAGTTGAGATGACAAACTGGAAGGATTCTGAAATGCACTGAATAAGGCAAGAAATCATCAATTACAGCAGAGGAAAAGTCTGAAGTACATTCAGGAAACTTCATAGGCTCTCCCCCCACCACCCTTCACGGGCAGTATTCTTTTGATTTAGAAAAGGATTAAGCATAAGAGTGAAATCTTTGATAGTTTTTACTCCTACAAATACTCATATGGCAGCAAATTCAAAGCCTACTAAGATGCTCTGATGCCATGATCTGGTAAAATAAGGCACTTCCAGTATCGAATTCCAGCCGTGCCGAAAAGATTAAGCCTGGGTCCAACCTATCATTCTCTTGTATCCCCATTTCCTCCCATAAAAGGTGTCACCACACAGTTTTTTCCTCCACATGTATCCTCCCCCTTTTTTCTTGAGATGACTTTGTTTTTCTCCAGAATATTTTTTTCTGATGACTTTTTTTTTAACACATGATAGAAATCTTCAGCTCCCAGCTTCAGTAAAGTCGGAAGATCCAAGTGGTACCAGGTAATGAATTCAGTTCATTCAGTTAAAAGTCTCTTGATACAGAAGCTGACCTGCCAGCTGCAGAGAAACCATGCGGCTTCTGAACTAGTTCCAATATTGCAAAGCAAGCTATGCATGGACGTTGGTGCTGGAGAGGTCGTTTCTTATTATTTCATTTACTACAAGAGAAAAAAAAATGGAGAAGAATTATTAAGATGAAGTGGTTAACAACTAATATAGATTGAAATGCCAAAGGAACACATCTCCCATACTTTTGAAATATGCTCAGGGTGTGAAATGTATGTCACAGAGTTAATGAAAACAACACGTTTCTGACTTCTTAAAGTCCATTTACTCTGTTTAGCCAGAACATGCAAAACATTCAACTTGTTGGAGATTCAGCTCAGCAGATTAAAGTTAGAAATGGATACTTATCCTAGAACTGGAGCCCTTAAGCTTATCTAGTTTTCCCAATCCTCCCCCATAACCCTCCACCGATCAATTCCCTTTGCCCCTGTAGAATGTAAGTCTCTTTTCGGGGTTAGAGATGTTCTCAACTTTTGCCTTTCTATCCCCCAGCACCTAACAGAGTGTCCAATCAGGAGTAAGTATATAATGTTTATGAAATTGAATAGTCCATAACTCAGTTATTAATTGGACCTTTTGACAATACAATGGCACGTACAAAGTAGAGGTGCCGGGTGCTAAGCTTGACGCTTGGAAGATGAAATGCTACTTCTCCAGGACAGGAACACACGTGTTGATTTTCCACTGTGTAATATAGAGGTTTCATAAAGCATGGTGATGGCACGTGTGTGTGTAAGTTTCAAACTTTCAACTTCTTTGCTAGCTCTGTCAGCCCATTAATTGTATTTATAAACAAGGGCTCTCTCATCTTCTTTACATGTCATATCACGTAGGCCAGGCGCGTTGTGCCCCTTTCCTTGTTCCTGAAGACTGAGGTTAAAAGGAGCCAAAGAGTCATCTTGTCAGCATTTGAAGAAAAAGAAAACATTCATCTCTTTCTCAGCACCAGGCAGTGTGATGGTCACACTGACACTAAGCGGCTTTCCTTACTCCCGCCTCTTCTTTCATTCTCTTATTTCCCTGTAGATTGTCAAGCTGCACAGTTTCCCACACTCAAATGATGTCCATTTATCAGCTTGTGATTTTTGGCAGATGGACAGGAAATGACTGAACCTGGCAAAGGCCAGCTCCAGTGAACTGCACAACATCCCCTCTCTTTCCACCCCACCTCCAGTTACCACCACAGTCAGGCGATTTGCTCTAAGATAGGGAAAATGCCATCACTGCCACTGTCATTGCTTCTCATTTTCCTAACATTATTTGGAGGTGGGGAGCCTTTGTGTACGTCATGGAACTGCCCAAATTTCCCTTTGCCCATGGGCTGGAGCACACGGCAGTCCAGATAAACCTCATGTGTTTTCTGCAGAGGCCCTGGGCTGTCTAAAGTCAACTTCCTGAAGCAATTAGTTGCTGAATACTTCATCACCACCACCCCCAATACTCCCTCCCTATCCCTTTCAACTCCCTGCCACTTGTGAAAGAATAACAATAATAATATGTGTCCAGGAGAGTCAGGAATTGTATCAAGTGCGTCTGTGGCAGTTAGCTGGCACCATTTTGTAGTTCTGAATTCCTCCTAGAAATAGAGCTGAACTCCACTGATTCATTTACAAGCTGATAAGAATCAATGAAGCCAACCTTCTTAGCTACTTGCCTACCCTAAATGCTTACTATGAGCAAACTCTTGTTTTGAAGAATGTATTCGAGTAGCAATCTACTTTGTTAAGAACAGCAGATCTCTGTTTCATAGACTAGGGATCTGAAACACAACAAGTCAGTGAACAGATCAAGGCTTGTGGGTCCCAATCTCTAGCCACCAGAGCTCCTCTTTAAGAATCACTTATTCATTGATTTGTTCATTCTGCCTAACCACCAGATCTATCCTAGGGACATCTTAGAGACCTAGTTACTTCCAGAAATACTAAAGGTGACAAAGAAATGCAGATGGAAATAGGTGAATGAAACCACAAGTTCTCCAAGGATGACGTGAAGATAATTTCTTCAGAGTACAATCCACTAGAAAAGATTCAGGCCAGCAACCTTCACTCTGGGCCACTTCTCATACTCTGATGAAAAGGCTAAAGAACTCACAGCTTAGTGTTCAACTTCAATGCATCCATGTGAAAGCAAAAATAAAAGCAATCCACCTCACCTCTTCTTCTGTGCAACACATGTCTGCATGTATTTACTTGAAAACTATCCCCTGCATAATCATTCTCTTAACTAACTAACCACCTCTGATTATGTTCACCAAATTCTTCTTTTTAGTAGTCTGCTACACGATTCAGGAATGTAATAAACGCTAAAAATACAATTTGAGATCATTTTTGAAATGTTACTTCATTTTTCTTCCTCTGTCTTGCTTCTATTTACATATAAATGTGTCCTGTTTATGTTTGATGAGTAATTTATATGGCCAAAGACTGCCATTTCTGGGGTTCGACTCCCAAATCCCTGGAGTTCACATCTGGGGTATTTTCTCAGTAAACAAAAGCTTTATCTGTTTGGGGCAGGGAGATGAGGTGCAATAATACAATGTAACTAGGATTTCTCTGTATCAATACCCACGTATTTGCTGCATTTGGCAAAGGTCTATTCTTTATCAGCAGAAAAGCTAGGTTTTTGATGATGGGGAACATAGTTAGTGAGAAAAGAAGAATTAGAACTACAGGTAGGGAAATTACCTTATCATAAATAAGCCTGTATCTATGAAAGTGTTAAGAACCCCTGGGAAATCCTATCAATCCATAAAGTGACTTTCAATGAAAATTCTTTTAACGAAATTTTCACTTGTTTGGGATGGCTTCAGGATCCAAATCTTGTCTGAAAGTGCCAGAACAAACTTTTGAGGTCTCTTCCAATTCTTTCACTCTAGGAATCTGTGCCATCTTTCCCTTTCATGATTTAGGACAATTTAATTTCAAATTGAAACCTTATTCTAGTAAGATCAGAGGTTGAAAGAAGAGAGAGGCATGCTGTAGTGAATGACATGGGAGATGGAAAGAAAGCAGTTGGCAGATCAGATGCCAAAAGTTTAGTCTTGTTAACTAACTAAGCAGTGATGTACATACTGTGGGGAGTGGGGAGCGGGAATAACATCTGCTTGAAAAGATGAAAGGGGAAGAACCATCAGAAGTGGGCTTCCCCTTGCTGCCCACTGAAGCACCTGACGCTAGAAGGGAATACCCTTAAGTGGGTGTGAGCGGGGAAAAATCATTCAGCATGTCACTGTGCAGTCTAGGTCCTCTCTGAACCAGGTACTGTGACATGCCTCAGTGTGGGATCCTCTAAGACTAGGGACTGAACCCATTTTTTCGCCATCCATCTCTGTCCAGTAGTATTCCCACTGAGAATCCTAGGAAGGCAAGGGCTCCTTGGAAGAAGGATGGCATATGGTTTCCAAAGCCTTTCAATACTGATGGAATGAGGTCAAAAGCCACTTCTGCCCAGAACTGCTTAACTCCTCACCATCACAATCTGGATTCAAAATTCCAGCCTGGACATGGCCAACCTGTTTGAGCAACAGTACCACAGAAGACCCACAAGATATGTTTGTCCTCGATTCTTTTTACCGTTATTTCTAATTTACTTCATGAGATCAAGGGGCACATCTGGAGCTGGCATCAGTCACTACAAACTGAGTGCCAAACACATTTGATGAGCATGGCCTCAGCAAGCCTCTGATCTTCTCCAGAACCATAAGCCTTAATAAGTGCATGGTGACTGATTGATTGATGATGGAGTGATAAGCCTACTAACATCCTCAGAAGGAAAGTATGATCATGAACACCTTTCACAGACGGAATAAAGACAGAAACAGACAACTGAGGGATGAGATCACTGCTAAACTGAGAGGAAAGCCCACGGTTCCCATAATTCTGAATGCTTGCTCTGAAAGCTGGTATGGATTAATTACCCTTCTGTTAGAGGACCGTTCAGCTTCCATGCATGTAATTGCCACTGGGTGTTCTTATTTAGTTTTGTTGTGTCTTCGGGGGGAGAAGGGGAAAGGAGGGTGGTGGGTGGTGGGGGAGGAGGTGGTTTTCTCTTTTTTGATATGGTTGCTTTTGTAGATGACACCTACAGTTTCCCACAATGCCTACTATCTACTGATACTTTCCACCTTATTATTCAGCCTTTCCACTGACACAAAATAAAAATACATAGTACTGAGAATTGCAGGTAACATGTGACCCTCTGTACCTGTCAGAAGCCTGAAAGAGGAACCTTTCCTTTGCTTAACATCAGATGCCACTGCAACAGGATGTGGTGAGCTGTTATACCACAATTTAATTTAATAAGGAGGATCTTTTTTCCTTATATTTAACTTTTCTCTAAAATACCCTTGCAATGGAAACTTTTTTTTCTTTCTAAAAACTAAGGTCACTGTGTGGGGTGGTTTGAATTCCCACTTTAAACTGGGACATTACAGGCACACAGAGTCCATACACATATGTATGATTTCTCAACCTATGAAGATGTGTACTTTATGAGGCATTTTGGTTATTTCTTTTAATAGTTTTGGGGGAAAAAAAGCAGAATCCTACCTTTCTTAATTTACCTCTCTTTGCTATATATTTGTACTTACCAGGTAGATTTTTTTAAATGTTTCTTTTTTTTTTCCTTCACTATACATAGAGCTTTTAGCCATGCAGAAAAAGGTGCTGTCCAAGCCTACCAACTAGTTGTTCATGAACTAACCATCTCTCTCTCCTTCCACAGAATTTTTATTTTAAATTGACTGCTTTTCCTTCAAATTGATGGCCATTTTGAAAAGGTCCTATTATAACCCTGTGTTTTAATGAAATATCCATAATTCATCTTGTGGATTTTTACTCTGCTGTCTTTTTCTTATCACTATACAGAAATCCAAAGGCAGCTTTAGAGTTCAATATTCATTAGAAATATTTTGCTGACTAATGTCTCTCTCAGTACTTACCTTTTCCACAAAGGCTCTCCTATTTCTCTAAATTCTTGGTTATGGAAAATGATTTAATGGCTCCCATTTTATTTATACAACTAAGGTATGGCTGTATTATTTATTTATTAACATTTACAAAGCCTTTGTTTGGAAGTAATAACAGCTGACATTTATATTATGCTTTGCACAGTACTTTATGTGCATTATATCACTTGAGCTTTATAACAGCCCTGTGAGGTAGGTAGTGTAAGAATTATTATCCTCCTCATACAGACGTGGAAACTGAGGCTCAGAGTGGTCAACTGCCCATGGTCACATAGCTCATAGTTGCCAAGGGCAAGATTCAAACCCAGATTTTCCTGATTCCAAGTCTATCCCTCTATACTATGCTTTCTCCCCTTTACCTTTTTCAAAATGATTTCATTTACCTCTCATGAGATCTTTACAGTAGCTCGATGAAATCAACATTGCAGGTATTACTCTTCCTAGTAATGATTACTCTTCCTAGATGATGAAACTGAGTTCAGGATGGTAAGTGGCTCCCCAGCTAGTAAGTGAAAATCAGGTCTAGAACCCAAGCCATCTGCCTCCTGCTCGAATGTTCTATCTACTATATCATACTACCATCAGTCTCATTAGTACTTGCTGTTCTAAGTATCTTTAAAGGAAGGGTTCTTAATCTGGGGACCATGAACTTGTTTAAAAAAATTGAGGACCATATTCCAGTGTAATTTCTTTCCTTTGAGATCTTATGTCCTTTATTTTATGCATTTAAAAACTTGATTCCAAGAAGGGGTCCACCAGACTGCCAAAGGGTCCAGGGACACAAACAAAGGTTAAGAACCCCTAGTTTAAAGACAGTCCACTGGCAAGTACAGTCACTATACTGGATTAGAAATATTAAGTGTTTTGATTTTTCTTTTTACAAGGCTAATAAAAAAAGTTGTAAAGCTTAGCCCGAACTGGTCTCTTTAACAGTAAATAATGACATATCAATAGATGGTGTTATGAAAGAGATATGTGAATAACACTGATTACTCCTACACATGGCATTTAGTGCTTCCTCATCCTTCTGTCCCTAATCACATCCATCACCTCCTCACATTCAGCCTCCAGAAGTTTTTTTGTCTCCCTGGTCCTTGCTATTTTTACCTATAGGTCATTCAAGACAACATTGAGAGTTTGGCGTCTCTGGAGTGAAACTAAAAAGAGTTGTAGGATTATATTTATTGTTACATTCCTTTCCTATTGCACATACCAATTCTTTCTTTCCTTAAAAAAAAAATGTTATCCTCCTGCTCCGTCCAGCCAATCCACCTGCACAAGCTTGGTGCATTTATAGGAGATTCCTTTATAAGGCTTAAAATAAGAGAGGTAAAGAGAGAGAGAGAGAGAGAGAGAGAGAGAGAGAGAGAGAGAGAGAGAGAGAGAAAGAGGAAAAGAAAAAGGACAAACAACCAAAGAAACCACACAAACCCACGCACTGATCATTTATTTTCCATTTTACACACGCACACACACACACACACACACACACACACAAGAAATGTCAGCATTTCTCTTGCTTTAAAAATAGTGAAATGAGTTGTGAGCTCGTCAAAGATATCACTACAGATAAAGATGCCAGAGAACTGCTGACAAGGTAGGTCAGCTGTTCCCACACAAAGCCAGCTTTTTTTTTTCAGCTAAAGAATCATAGATCGAGAACTGGAAAGAGATCATCAAGTCCAAAGCCCTTATCTTATAGACAAGCAAACTGAGTCCCACAGAGGTGAAATAGATTGTCTGAAGGTGATACAGGTGGGAAACACTAGTCCTTCGGCTCTGTTAGAATTCAGTGCTTCCCAATTAGGTTGTTTCATCCAGAAATCTCCAGTGCACTAAGGCAATTGTAATTGTCTTATATCAAGAAGTTTGGGGCGGGGGAGCAGGGAGGAAGGGACAGTAATATTTCTGAAGGAATGCTTCTCACCCAGAGGTAGCATGCTACAACAGAAAGAATACTGGCTCCAGAGTGTGAGGACTGCGTGTGGCCTTGGCCAAGTCACTTAACCCCCTTCAGGCCTTGTTTCATCCACTGTAAAATGAGAAAGTTAGACCAAAAAGTCAACACTAATTCTGTGGCTACATCCCAGCTCTAGCACTATGATTCTGTGACATGGACTTCCCATGCCATGTTTTTTTCCAATGCATTTGATCTGCATTTAAAAGTGAGATTCCAAAGCAATATCTTTGGTACTATTCATGGAGCAAATGACATGTGAAATATCATCCTGTTAGGATTTCTGGACCCAGTTTATTGTGCTTTCTATTGTATATAGCTTATCTTTCCAGTTTCAAGTAAACCTTTATCATCAACTGTTCCACTTCCAACTGTAAGTCAATAAGATGGTAGTGTATGCTTTTATGTTAAAGGAGAAATACTATGGACTATTAACTTCAATTGAGATAGGAAAGAATTACCATAGAAAAAACACCCAACTTAGATTAAATTATATCTCTCAAACATAAATAAGAAACAGGATGTTATGTTAACTACTATAAAAAATTTAAAAGGTGTAAGAAACAGTAACCACTAAGAATGGAAGAAACCATAGCATTAAATACATACTTTTATAGAATATACTTTCTGAGTTATAAGCAGAAACCAGACTGAATGCTTATGGAGAACACAGCAACCCTGTATAACACTAAATCAATTTTATCTTCTATTTACCTCCCTGCCACATCACCTAAATCCTCCTTAAATGAAGGCTAAAACGAATCAAGTTCTAAGATGGGAGAATAAAGCTAGGTGACCCTAGACATCCTGGAATCTCACTTTGGGAAACCTGACCTGGCTAGATCCAGAGTTCCAAAGGCAAAAGGCAAGAAGTTGGCATTAACTGATGAATTTAGAGAATGCCTACCTTTTCTAGATTATATTGAAATCTCAAGGGCTACAAGCAAGGAGAGGTGAACCCTGAGTGCTGTGACATGCACAATTTCCCTGCCTAATATGTGCATGTATGTGCTCAGGCAGTTCTACAACTTTCAGTGGTGAATATGTGTCAGGAAGATGCTTACAGGGACAGTGTCAGCACAAAGTGTTGACTGACAAAGAGGGGTTTGAGATCTTTCCACCTTTAAAAAAAGAAACACACAGCACAGCTGTAAAGCATAGAGGGAACATTCAGGCTATCAAAAAACTTGAATGTTCTGACAATTTTGCTTTAAAAAAAAGATTGAGATTCATGTACCAGCATGACTAGTGGAGGAGAAAACACAAGTCAAAAAAAAAAAATGTGTTCAGTGGAAGGGATGATGCAGGTTTAGATATGGTTGTCTGTTAATTTTGGTCAAAAGACATTTTTTAAAAGTAGCCTGGACTTCCTGTGGATGTTTCCTGACAGCATTAAATGTGTGGCTTTAGAATGTAAGCTGTCCCATTAGACTGTAAGCTCCCTTAAGGCAGGGACTGTTCCTGCCATTCTTTGTATCCCTAGAGCTTAGAACAGAGCCTAAGCACATAGTATATGCTTAACAAATGTTTGTTGACCAATTAGTAAATGACAAGTTAGTTGAGTTCAGGTGGATCGGTGCTTATGTTGTTACACACGCAGCTGTGTGCACAAGTTGTGCATTCAGTCCAGGTTTAATTGGAGGCAGCTTACATGAGAGTAAGTAGGAGTTGCTTTTGTGTAAGAAAGGAACATGATTCAGCCTGCTTCATACTCAGAGCAAAACTACCTTTTCCAAACACACACACACACACACACACACACACACACACACACACACACACACACACACACACACACACACTCTCCATTCCCAATCCGTAATCAATGAAAAAACATATATACATAATGTGAGTGTCAAAAGTATAATAAAAAGCATTAGCTAGAACCTTTTCTGACAGCTAATCTTGGCCAGGGATGCAGACTTACAGGGAAAATGGAAACTAGGGGCTTCTAAGCAACAGAATAAGGCATCTGATT